ATAAATTTACATGGATTAATCAGGAGAATAAGGAGGCCAATAAATGTCACTGAACCTGGAAATGTGGCAACCAGGGAAGAGGTGACAAATAACATCAATTGATGTTCTAGTGTGGGCTGTCGCCTCATCCTGTTGAAACCACACACGTCTGATGGGAATACGTTTCCATTGTACACAAGGATGCGGAAATGTATTTCCATCAGATGTGTATGACTGAACAATCCCCATTACATATGACTGAGGAAACAGTCATACACAAACACATGGTGTTCTATCATTCATGGCTCCAAGCCTTCAACTGAAAAGATAATGCTAAAACCTCACTACTTTTGCTCTACCACCTGGTGGTGAGTTCTAGCCATTTCAAAAATGTCCATCCTTTCTGCTCCACCCTTTATATATTTAAATAGTTTTAACATTTTCCAGCAACAAGATTAATAAAAATCAAAGATTTCCTGCTGACTAAACAGCCATCTTCAGGATCAAACTATGAGGGCTGTTTGGAAATCACTTCCAAGAGGTATGAAATAAAACAGGAAAAAAAGAAAACTATATTTATCATACACAAAAGTTGCACACACACACACAAACAATTTTTCATTATAATCATCATATAAATTCAGACATTTGTAACAGTGTGACGCCATCTTCTTTATACCTTTTACAAAGAATGTTGCCACCAAGGACATCATCCATTCTCGAACACCATCCATCAGCTCTTCATTCTCAAATCACTGCAACCTCAACCACATTTTCATTTTTGAAAACAAATGATAATTGTTCAGTGCAAGATCTGGGCTGTAGGGTGAATAGTTAAACACTTTCTGTTAAAACTGTTGGAGCAACTCTTCTGTGCATGTGGCCATGTGAGGGCTTGTATTTTTTGTGAACTGAAACAATGCCTGATATCAACATGCTTTGTTTCAATATACACACCACTTCACATTGGAAAATATGTTCAACAGACACAGAACCAACTTCCAGTGCATATAACACAAAAATGTCTTTCCTCTTGTTCTGAATCGCCTATTGAAGGTTTTTGAGGGTTTTGCAATATTCATCCACAGTAATGGTTGTAATTTACTTCATAAACTCTATCAGCAACATTCCCTTATGGTTTGAAAAGACTGTAGCTATAAGCTTCTTGTTTGAAAATGTTGATTTTACCTACTTAGGTTTGTTTAGCAAGATCATACGCATTCACTGTTTTGGTTGTGTGTGTGTGTGTGTTTTTTTTTCTGTATATTCTGAAGGTAAAACCACATCTTGTCACCTGTTATTATCATGTTGTTATCATGTTCAGAAAAGCATCACCATTCGTGTTATAGCATTGCATTTCATTCGCTTTATTCTATGATCTTCTGTGAGGTGCTTGGGAACCCACCTGACACAATACTTGTGATAACTTAGAGTCAGACTCTGATAGTGTTGTTTGCTCAATTGCAGAAAATTTACTAAGCAGTTCCAATAATGTGAAGCAGTGACACTCACAAATCACTTTGTCCACTCATTTGACAAAGTTATAAGTTACCACAGATGGTCTTCCTTGTCCACCTTTATCAAACTATCCATTGGAATTATTCCCTCACACAACCTTCATTCATGAACTTTTCCCTGTAGATGGTATTCATGCTGCAATGGATTTTGGCTGCACTCCATCCTTCAGCTTGCAAAAAGTGAATTGGAATGAACCTGACATTTGGCAGAAACTTTAATTACAACAGACATCAGTCTTTGCTTGCTACAGTCTATCTTGTGCATGTTTCACAGGGCATGGAATCTTCCTTGCATATTTGCAAAGATTCTGGAAAACATTGGCTAACAAATGCCAATGTGACAAAAGAAGCAAGCAAAACTTATTACACTTTCTCTTTGACTGTTTCAACTAAGACATCATCAGAAACCCTTTTCAGGAATTGTTTAACAGAAACACTTAATTGGCCCCAAACCCAGCAGATGTCATGAACAAAAAAACTTTGGGTATGCCTGCATATATTCATCAAACTAGGGCACTGAGACCCACTTCCTTAAACAGAGAAGAACCCATGGAGGAAACAACAGTCATACTTGTCACTGTCCCATTTTACATGTTTATGTCACTGAAGATAAGGAAGATTACAAAGACAACTATAGCTCGATCCTTCCAATCAAGAAACTACTTAGTACAAGTAGAATACTGACACTTTAAATTTCTTAAAGAATAACATTGAAAATCTTTCTAAAACTTTTCTGTTATTTTTAATCACAAACCCTGCAATTAATTTTGGCTGGACGGCCAAGTTGTGAAGGTGGCAGCCTACTGCTCTGGGAGATCTGGGATCAAACTCAATGGGTCAAAAAATAGCCATGAATTTTTCAGGATTGGTCCATCCAGATATGTTGGGCTTCGTCTCTCACCACCCGGCCACTCCATTGTGGGCTTGGATGACCTCATAATGGAAATCAAGAGACAACATGTAAATACAATCTCTTTACACACCGGTGTTTAAATACAATAAAATAAAATACTCTTCAAACCTTTAACCGGAGTGGTTCTATTTTTAGACTTGCGAAAGTTTTCGTCGCCCCTCCTGGGCACTTCTTCAGGCTAAAACGAATGGGCCTTTAATATTCGAATCATTTGAAATTGTTCCGAATTCATGTTGTGCATACTTCATATTCATCCCTTTAAACGCTGCTATCTATCAAAATCTCTTCCAAATTCTATCGTTGTACTGCGCATGCTTCATACTCATCTCTTTAAATGCTTTTATCCAGCAAAATCTGCCATGCTATCGATAGGGCCATTTCAAATATCTCCATCAAATATCTCCATGGCTAGAGGCCATGGAGATATTTAAGGCAGGAAGAAACGGCACGTGCATTAATTATAAAGAGGAAATGGCCCTATCGATAGCATGACAGATTTTGCTGGATAAAAGCATTTAAAGAGATGAGTATGGAGCATGCGCAGTACAACGATAGAATTCGGAAGAGATTTTGATAGATAGCAGCATTTAAAGGGATGAATATGGAGCAAGCGCAACACGAATTAGGAACAATTTCAAATGATTTGAATATTAAAGGCCCATTCGTTTTAGCCTGAAGAAGTGCCCAGGAGGGGCGACGAAAACGTTCGCAAGTCTAAAAATAGAACCACTCCGGTTAAAGGTTTGAAGACAACATGTAATTGTAAATTCTGTCTATAATACAGGTCTGCAAAATACCAGTTTAAGTAGACAGAAAAAACATTATCAGATGGTTAATTGAAGAATGTATTCTAGGTTTATGGACAGATTAACCTATCCCATATTAAAATTTTTCTCCATTGTGTGTAGTTTCCATGTTAAATTTTTATCAATGTTAAACCTAATGAAAATTTTATGTTTTTTAAAAAATAATTGTGGCTATTGTATTGTCCAAAATTATTTTTTTATTTTTCACAAGCAAAACAGATATATTAATAAAAATGTAATAACCAAAAAATTATATTTTGAAAGTTATTTTTAATAAAAATTATAATGACTAGCGACATCTAGTTCCAAAAACATACTGATATTGTAAGAAGATATCTCGGGTCAAATGCTCAAGGTCAGAGGTCATGACCCCGAGAATTGTCGGGAATAACACAGGACAGGTTAAAAGAACATAAGAAAGCAATTTAATAAGGAGCGATAAACACAGTACTGGCAGCAGATTTGATAATTAATAAAAAATGCTTTGACTAAATGTAATTGTCAACTTAGAAAAACAATTTACTATGAATTAGACAAAAATTTAGTTATTTTCCCAATACCTTAAAACAGAACAAGAAAGTAGAAAATAATGCCCAAATCCATAGATCAAATTCTTTAACAAAAATTATGCATAAATAAACTTAGTAGCATTAAATTAAATAAATTTGTATCAATTCTTACACTCTTGCATTAATCAATAGTTTAGTCATTGACAAATAGTATTTTTGTAATTATTCATTTAATTTGTTAAAACCATATTAATCTTTAAGTAAATATGGTATATTTTAATTCACAGTCAATTACGTCAAGGAAAAAATAAATTGAGTCTTTAAAAATTATTAGTTTTGAGTCTAACAGATGAAATATATGAATTGCTCAATTGAAAAGTGGACACGTGTCATATTTCATAGCACAAAGTAGCAATACCTTACAGGTGAGTAAGCTCAACATAAGTGAAGCACATCTGCATTAAGTATTGGCAGGAATAAATTTTATCTCCAGTAATTGGCAGATTAATGTTAAGTTAGTTACAATGGAAGCATCCAGTATTGAACAATGGGTGTTGGTTTGGTTTTTAGTGGCTGAATGGGATAGGTGTGCTGACATCAATAAATGATAATGTTATACATTAACAAACACCCTGAGTTTCTCCTTCATATTGTTTCAGGAAATGAGACATGGTGCTATCATTATGCTCCAAAAACAAAGAACATGAGCAAGCAATGGAAGCACTCAGTCTCTGGTTGCTCATTAGTTCATAACAATACCTATGATGGAAAAGTGATGTTGACTTTTTTTTTCAACTGCCTTGTGACTTATACATTTTCAGACTTCTCAAGAAAGCTTTGCGAGGGCAAAGATTCATGTTGGATGATGAGGTAAAGGGTAGGATTGAAGAACATATTTTGCTGGCAGCTACCAGAATCTTACATGAGGGGCATCAATCTGCTTGTGAGACTCTGGAATCTTTTCTTAATCAAACATGGTGATTCCTTTTAGATTTGCAATAAATGTTTGCCAGTTTTGATGTGTGTCCACTTTTTATTAGGGTAACCTTTATAAATATGAATTATCAACAGATAGTTAATGTGAGTAAACATCAAATTTCTAAAAATATAAGTTAAATTTTGTCTATTAGAATAACATTAGTGACAGAAATGCTTAATATTCAAAACCAAACATTTTCTGTTTTGTGAAAGCCTTTGAGATATTTATTGTTATATATATTTGTGAAATTTAACTTTACAAAATTTAGTTTATTTTAAATAATACATATTTTTTCAGGTGGAGATTTGCATTACCATTTATCACAGCATGGAGTTTTTACAGAACAAGAAATGAGATTTTATGCAGCTGAAGTTATTCTTGGATTAGAACATATGCATAAGCGATTTGTTGTCTATAGAGATTTAAAAGTATATATATTTTCTTAAATTAAATATTTTTATCATATTTTTATAATTTCACATTCTAAGATTATATTATTTTATTTTGATATTACTAAACAAAAACATAATCATTTACTTTGACTAATAACTTATTAATATTTTTGGTCTTTGGTTTTTCTAACATTTTTTAAACCACTTTTGGTACATTTAAATTAATGAGATGGTGCCACAATTCAGTTTGTGATGTCACAGCTTGTAACTGTCATTTTTCAAACTAGCTCAGGTCAAATTTCAGCCAGAAGCATTTTTCATATTTTACAGACATTTGAAGCAAGTATTGTAGCAGTTTGCACAAAAATGGAAAAAAACCAATTTTTATACAGTTATAAAACATAACAACAAACTACTCACCACACCTCAATAATAATCACATACACTGAACCAATTTACGGTGTGGTACGATAAACAACGAAAAAATAAGAAAAACAAACGTTTTCGAACCCCTTCTGGGTTCTTCATCAGGTTCCTACAGTTTTAGCTCGTAAATTTGAATAACGAATGTCGTTCAAATAAGTTCAATCTTGAGTTCGAATCATTCTTTTAAACTTATATGACGCGCATGCGTGCCGAGTCTGCCTACTCGGATATCACGGGAGGCTAAATCGTGTTGTGAATCAACACTTGCCAGGCCATCGACAAAAGCATCTCCTCTTTAAAATTTATGCACGTAGTTTCGATAGAGGCTTTAAAGATGTGCATCGCCTTTAACCGTTTGAGATGATCATTGGAAGATGCACCTAGGAGGAGATTGGCCCGAGTAAAGTCGGCAACTATTTCCAGGTCCAACACGGCCCTTGCAACATACGTAATGGACCCAGAAATAGTTTCCGACTTTACTCGGGCCAATCTCCTCCTATGTGCACCTCCCAATGATCATCTCAAATGGTTAGAGGCAATGCACATCTTTAAAGCCTCTATCGAAACTACGTGCATAAATTTTAAAGAGGAGATGCTTTTGTCGATGGCCTGGCAAGTGTTGATTCACAACATGATTTAGCCGCCCGTGATATCCGAGTAGGCAGACTTGGCATGCATGCGCATCATATAAGTTTAAAAGAACGATTCGAACTAAAGATCGAACTTATTTGAACGACATTCGTTATTCAAATTTACGAGCTAAAACTGTAGGAACCTGATGAAGAACCCAGAAGGGGTTCGAAAACGTTTGTTTTTCGTTATTTTTTCATTGTTTATCGTATCACACCGTAAATTGGTTCAGTGTATGTGATAGTTATAAAACATTTTTATTTAAAAGAAGTGAACAGCTGTCCAGATCAAAATGGAGTTGGATGAAGTGTTTATTTCTGGATAAACAAGTTTAAAAGTGGTTGAACGTGCACTGAAGATGAAGTGTGCTCTGGGTGTTCATCTTGAGATAACTATGACAGAAATAATTGAAAAAGTTCACATTATCATCATGGAAGACCACCATGTAAAAGTGTGAGAGATTCCTGAGATTCTAGGTATCTCAACTGAATGAGTGTACAAAATCCTGCATGAAAAATTGCAGCTGAAAAAGCTGTGTGCACAATGGTTGCCATAATTGTTGACTATATACAAAAAATGCATGGAAAAGGACATTTTAACTTTGATTGGCAATGTTTAACCACAATCTGCAAGACTTTCTGTATCAATTTGTGACTTTGGATGAAACATGGATTCTCCACTATACACCTAGTTGGAGCAGTGGACAATGAGTGGTGAAAGTGCACCAAAAAAGGCAAAGACTGTTTAGTCGACGTGCAAGGTAATGGCCACTGTTTTTTGGGATTTGCAAGAATCATCCTGGTCAACTACTAGGAGAAAGGTAAAACAATAACAGGAGCTTATTATGCAACATTATTGGACCATTTGAAAAAAGAGCTGAAACAAAAACAGCCAAGATTTGTACACAGAACAGTTCTCTTTCACCAAGACAATGCACCATTTCACAAATCAACCATTGCAGTGACAAAATTGCATGAATTATGCTTTGAATTGATTCCTCATTCATCCTGTTCTCCAGACTTGGGCCTCATCCAACTTTTTCCTGTTTGCAAACTTAAAAATTTGGCTTAGTGGAAAGAAATTCTCATTGAATAAGGAAGTCATTGTGTCTGTCAATGTATATTTTCCAGACCTCAGAAAAGCTACTTTTCCAACAAGATTAAATAATTGGAAACTCACTGAACCAAGTGTATAGCCCTCAATAGAAATTATGTTGACAAATAAAATTGAATTTTTTTCAAAAATCTGTGTTTAACTTGCTTTTTTATTATACCTATCAAACGAACTTTATAGTCTGTGTTGGTTCTTCAAACTCTTAACATTAAAAAAGACTTTATGATAATCTCTGTAATTCTGTTTCAGACATATGCCATAATTTTTATTGCATCTTAAATGTTAAATTATACTTTACAAAATTATTTTAGCATCCTTCATTATCAATTGCTTTAATTAACATTTAAAATATCTGATGGTAGGTGAATGTTTTAAATGGTACAATAACACCCAAAATCATTGATTGCAAAATGGAAATTATATCTGGGGAAAAGGATTATTTTAACTTTGATGTGGTTATGTTGGAGAGGGTGGATGCTGAGGTGTTTATTTAAAGAATTACATGAAGAAGAACTGATTTAGCTTTATAATTTTTCATTTTGGTTTTCACATTATTTTGTGCCTATTTTTCAAGTAGTAAAGCAGTAATCTAACTTTTCTTATTGGGTTTCCACATTACTGGAAGTATAGTTTTAATAAATTCTTTAAATTTTGATTTTTTCATGATGCACTTTCTTGAGTTTTAATTTGCAGTCACTATGTGTTTTCACCAGGCAATATAGTTTTTTGGCAAGGTGCACTTTCAGAAGAGACTGGATTTAATGACTTTTAAAATGTGATGGCAAATAATTTCCACTCTCAAGTATTTCAGCAAATTATTTAGTGAACAGTTTTGCTGCTTCAGTATCAGTATTTGCAGATTCTCTGATAACTTTGATGTTATGCCAACCAGATTTTTGTTGTAATAATCAAACTATTCACTGATTGCAAAGAGTAGACATTAGTCAGCCTGAGCTGGAAGAGTCTGTCAGATGAAAGAGGTGGAACAGACATGTGGGAGTTGAGACATAAACATTGTCTTTCAGCTGTTTTGTTCTTTAGTTTTTAAAACATCTTTGTACTATCATTATCATAAATAATTGTATTGTTTTACTTTTTTTTTACAAATTTTATTACTGTGATCCATGTATCAACTTTTTTTATACAATATCCCTTCTTATTTTAAATAAATGTATTACAAATATTTTTAAGTAAGTTTTATATTGTATGAAGAAGACATCAATGCAACATTGCGAGTACTTGCTAATTTCAATATTAATAAAAGAATCATAATGCCAAAAGACAATATCATATATTATTATAAGATTATTGGCATGAAGTGTGTGTGTTTTATTTATGAAATGCTAGTTGTCTTTTAAACTTTGTGGGTGTTGAAAAGTACAGATAGGCTCTACAACAGAGACAACAAAAGACTGCAGCCACTTTAAATTTAAATAGATCGTTAGACTTCAGCTGATTGTAAGAATATGTGGCCCTGGGTTTCCTGAATACTGTTGTTTTGATGATACTTTCTTTAATTCAAATGGAAATGTTCATATAGTGGATACAGTTGTGATATAACTGACCCAGCTGTTTATAAGAACCCCACATTATTTTGATTGATGATGATGATGATAAATTCTTGGCAGACATTTGGAGTATTCCATATTATCAATAGGTTGTTTACAAAATGATAGGTGGCTGTAATGTAGTTATTGAATCTTTGCATTATTGATGTTTTTACAAATCAATAATGCAATAGTACTATCTGTACTTGCATATGTAACTGGTGTTTCCTTATTACTAAACATGATAGTTTTGGTGATTATTACTTTTAGAGAAAGTCCAAAAATACTTAGTAATTTTGGTGTTTTTTTTTTATGGGCTCCAGTTTAAGCGGAATGATAATGAAAAGTTATTTTATGATTTTAAAATATTAGTATATAGAGTATAAAATATTTTAGATTTTAAAAAATTGTTATTTAAAAGGATTCAGATATAATTAATAATTTGCCTTATTACAGCTCAAAAGGAATCTGGCTATATGGTTTGATTATATTTTAGATATTTTAAGAAAAATGTATTACTAAGAAAATATTATTAAAAGAAAATATAATTCTTTGTCAACTAAGTTCTAAATTTTGTTTTTGTTTTTTTTTTAAATATTATTATTTTAGCCAGCCAACATTCTTCTAGATGAACATGGACATATCAGGATATCGGATTTAGGATTGGCCTGTGATTTTTCAAAGAAAAAGCCTCATGCTAGTGTGTAAGTGTTGTTATTTTTTATTACTATTGTTGAATTTTAACCAAATTATTTTTGAAGTCATTTTGTAAATGACTTCAAAAATAAGTTGTTGATATTTTTAATTTATATAAATTTATAAATTTACTCAAATAACAATTCTATACAGACTTAAAAAATGTAAATTTACACAATTTTATACACAAAATTTAGCTCTTTATTATTTATACTGTAAATAATAAAAAACTAAATTTTGTGTACAAAACACATATAACATACAATTATTTTTTAAAGAATATTATAAGTAAGTTTAATATAATGTAATGAAGATAACTGGTCTAGCATAAAATCTGCACAGGCATTTTTCTCACTGTTAAAAACAAGTTAATTGTTGTTTCAGTTTAGATAGTACCATCTTAAGTAAACAAACAACTTTATGAAAATCTAATATATTATACCAATAAAGCCAACCACTTTATTGGGCTATATAACAGCTTATATTGATAATAAATTACCAAACAATTTGATCAGAGGGAGTTGTTAGTCACCATCTCGTAATATTAATATATATAATTTTAATTAAATAATTTAGACTATTATTTATTCTTATTACTATTATTATTATTAATATAGTTGTTATATAGCCTGATAGCATATGGCAGTGGTTGGCTTTGTTACCATTTTAAGTATTCCATTATCATTTATTTCTTTTCTTCTGCTTTTTTTTAACAGTTAATTGTTGTGTAAATATCTAATGAAATGGAACCAATGGTTTATTTGAGATGTAATCTTGTAAATGGCATTAAGAATTAAAAATACAAATTGGGTGAAACTTTAACCCCTTCATTCCCGATCATTAATTAAATTGATATAAGATTAATATTAAAATACATTAAAAATACTTAAAACTGAAAAAAAAAGGAAAGAAATGCGTTAATTTTGAAGAAAAACCTTCAAATTTTATTTTCCTTTGTTTTTAACACCGATGAGTCATTGTTTACACAGCTGGGTGACCTTGAACACAGCTGGAGTCCCATTTCCCGGGACATTCTCATAGATGTCTCGGGAGGACAAGGGTTTAAAGTAGGGTGACTATAAGCGACACGGAAATTTTTAAATATTTTTAAAAAATTCAAACTTTTATTGCGATTTCCGACCCCCCCCTAATTAATTAATTTTATATATAAAAAAATATATTAATTAAAAAAATTAAAAAACTATTGGAGGTCGTTTTTGACATCAGAAACTAACTTTAAATAACTTTACCGAGTGAAAATCCGTGCACTACAACTTAGGAACCATGAAATAAAATTGAAAAAAAACTCCCATTAAAAAACAATTAAGCCTTAATCGAGCCTTCACATAGGCTCATTAAAATCGCGATAAAAAATTTTTGCGCGGAAAAAAAAATTTGAAAAAATTTGGGGACCTAAAAAACATTCCAAAAATTAAAAAAAAATAATTTTTTTCAAAAATGGCCTTAAGGACCACATTTTTCGTAACGCTATGTAGGCTTGACGTATATATACGTCAATGGAGACTGAGGGGTTAACATTTCTTACTTCTATTATTATTTTTTCTTTGTTTAATTAAAAATGATAATAATAGTAATAACCTTTTCATGAAAAACTTGCACACAAACACAAACTGTTATATTCACATAAACGATGTTACAAATACATACCTCAGACAGTCTTAGAAAGTAACTTGTACAAAATATACTATGATGAGCCATAAGTATGGATAAAACAATTACATCACAACTGACCAGTGTCTTGTTGCATAAAAATTACAAATTACTGGCTGTTAGTTACAAGCTAGAAAACTTATAATACTTGTAGCTAGTAGCAAATATTTGCAGATCTTTACTGTGTAGTGACTCTGATATACCTGGGTATACTGAGCATGTCAATAGGGTAACAAGATAAGGACTTAACAATTGACCAGACAGATAAAACAAAACAAAATTTGTTTAATTTAGTATAACAGTGGGATGTAGTCGGTTTTTATAAATATGTTGTAAGGACTGAGTAATAAGTTTGTGAAAACCGAAGGAGAACCAAAAAAAAAAACTGTGTGACAATATGAATTCGTGTTCTTATTAATTACAAATATTTACATAATTACATATACACATACTCTTGTCTTTCTCTACACAACTCTTCACAAACAATTGTTCTAATTTACATCACTGTAGCCCACTGATTACAAGTGCGATAAAACACGTGTCTACTAATTTCTATTAATTACAAATAAAAGTCTCACTAATATCTCCAGTGGATTCTTGAACACAATGTGCACATTCTTTGTTGATATCCAACGATTTCACATGGATGAGCATGGATTGCCTCAGTCCACTCAGAAAGTTCCTTTTGTTAAAGATGATCTTGTTGAACATTTCTCTCAACGGTTTGAAGTTCAACACTCTTCTTAACAGTCTAGAAGGGAAGCAGGAAGCAAAAAGGTGCTCCTCAGGAGAAAACACCTGAATTTATAACTCCCACCATCCAGAAGTATGTTTTCTGCACGTTATACCCTTCCTGACCAATCAGTGGGTGCAATTGAGTCACCACAGAAAAGGTGACACCAGGGCACAAAAAGGAAAATAACACGAAATTCCATACATTTTCAAAACTTGACACAAAATAAAAGGAAAAACATGTACATGATAAGAAACAAATAACACGTATAAATACAGTAGAGCATCGATTATCTGAATCAATTGGGGACTGGGGTTGTTCGGAAAATCAATTTTTTGGATAACCAATTATGTACGAAAAAATACATTATTAATATAGTATATTAGTATATTACAATAATAGTATATTAATATAGCCCATGTTTAAATTTTTCTCTGTTATGTATCACTTTGCATTGAATTTTTGTCAATGTTAAGCCTAACGAAAATTTTTATAACAATAATCATGGCTATTGTATCCTTAAAAATTATTTTTTTTTGTACAAACAAAATAAATGTATTGAAAAATATAAAAACAAAAAAAATTATACTTTAAAAATTAATCTAGTATCAAAAACATTCAATTCAGCAGGACACAGTCTGACTGGAAAGCTTTCGATTGATTGACATTCAGATAATCAACACTCTACTGTACAAACAATAGTGGCATAGCACTACAACTGCTTATAAGTAATTTTGATTTCATAAAGTTTAAGGTTTATGTTTGTGGGTTAGGCAGAAGGTAAAGTTCAAAACATGTTCCATATCTACCACACCTTATAAAACTCAAAATAGACAAGACAGCATACAGACAGACATGATAAATTTACACAAAAAAAAAAAAACAAATATCTCACTGTTAGCAAAGAGTTGTTTATCAGAAAAGAGCAATAATACACAATATTTTTATTTTACAAACAATTATTGAACATATCAAATAAGTAGCTGAACAGATAAATCAACTCATACATTAGACACTCATTGACAAGTGCTGCAACAATAGTCACTTATGGAAACATGCAACATAACAAGCACCAGTGAAAACACTAACTTTACAATAAGTGATAGTGTAGACACAGAATTAAAGTACAGAAATTTATTCAAGAAGCACTCACTAAATATACAGGTTTATCCCAAACAGAGACCATGAATACCAAAGTACACACATTACCAAAACATGTTGAACCAGAATCAACACTTTCAGACATACATACATAAATGTATTCTGATACAGTCATTGTAGCTACATACTATAGCTTTAAACTAATATAATCACAGACAGACACAATCAAAACACAAACAAATCATAAGTCTGCCTAGCAAAGAAGACTAGAAACACAAACAGTAATAAACAACTATTAGTCAGGTTGACACAATACACTAAAAACAACAAAACACCAAACATAATGAAAAACGTTAGGAAAATATTTTGGAGACACAGACATAGCATAAACATAATATACATGTGCAGGAATACATTGACACACACTAAAATGAAAACTAGCAGCAAGTCAAAGATTACTCTTTGTAACTGATATCAAACCTGTACACTATATACATTTTTATGACAATACAAAACTGTATACTATGAAAATAACAAAAATCACTCACAAATCAATGAAGTACTCTTCTACAGACAACTACATACCAAACCCACCATACAACAGAAAAACAAATCAAGAGTATTGGTCTGTTCTTTTGTCCAATCCAGTCACACAAAGATGAAGAAGAAAACATACGGGATACATCAATCATGTGCTGTGTCAAAATAAGCATACGAAACAACATGCAGTAAAAAGAACACACAGTTGGAAAATACATGGTGCAGACAACATTTACAACTTCTCATAAAAAAACAATTTACATCTATATCAGGATCTAGCCAAACATTTTACCCACACAATCAATAATTCAAAAGATATGCCAAAATTTTTTACATAAAATCACATACATGAAATCTAAAAATGACAGCACCAGAAACTACACAGTACAGTTTAATCACTTACCTTCCTACTCTACAAAATACTTCATGCATTGCAATATTCTCATAGAGCAACAAAAAGACTGTCATAGAAACCACATGGGATGCAAAGACTAATTAAACATAGATTGCCATTTTATGGCAAACAACACAAACTTGCATGCAGCATACATAAATTACAAAAAGATATTCAACAGCATCCCATACATATAGTTATACATGTATACAAAATACATCCTACACTACACTTTAGACTTTAGGACACATCTAGAGATGGGAAAATACTAACTGAATATAGTTGAATACTAGAAAGCGTTAACATATTCAAGATTTTAAATATAATATTCAAAAAAAATAAATTTGAATTTTTTTAATATTATACCACTGCATACAAACAATGCTCCTCATCATCTCTGATTTAATTTTGTGACAAGAAAAGAAGCAGACTTGATCCTGAAAGTGTTTAAATGTTTTTTTCATAAATAAAAGTCTGCAATAGGTGAAAATGAGAACACTTATTGATTAATCTATTGTAGTTAAAATAACAGTATCTATAAAAATAACACCTCAATACTGGTTAGAACC